TGTTATATTTTTCAGTAAAAAAGAGGAGAAGAAGAAGAAGGAAAAGAAACCAACTGTCAGTATATTTACCATGGTGAGTTTTAAGTTTATTTATTCAAAATGCATTGTAAATTGGACATCTCTTTCTCTAAAAACAAAGTATTTTTTACTTTTATTATTTTTTATTATTAGTGCGTATTTTTGCAAAATATTGGGTTTCAACGTGTGCAACATATTTTGATCATATCCATCTCCTTATTACCCATGGTTATACCCCTCAAAATTCACATATAGAAGTATTTCTTCTGATATAATATTTTCTTAGAAAATCTGGTAATAGAGAAGCAAAATGAGTTAGTTGGATTCACAGTAGTTTATTATTTGAGAAATACTCACCATCACTTGCCATACGAATGAACGTAAACAGTCATTCTTGCTAGACTAGATTTCAGTGTTCCCCTAATTAGTTACATTGCCATTGATCTGTTGCCTACGGAAATGTTTCTCCTAGTAACAGACTTTACCATCTGGATAGAGCAAGCCACTTACGTTGCATGTTATCTTTATGGTCTAAAATCCTGGTAGATTTGAAGTCAAAGCACCAAGCTTAAAAGATAGCAATAAAAAATTTGTAACCATGATTTAGAATATGTCACTGTTTTCCTGTGCTGAATAGCTGAAAATATAGAATTTGAAAAAAGTCTATCTCATTTTTTGTTTGCATGATTATTATTTTGAAGCCTTTTGGGAACTTTATGCATATAGCAGGCTGCTGCTGATCTCTGTCACCATAGCGTGCAAACTTAGATGAACTTAGGTAAATTATTTACATGAACTCTTCCAGAGACCTGAACCCGGAAACTAATAAAATAATTAAGTCCTACAACAGAGGCTTTGTAATTTACTCATTACACACTAGAATGTCTTTTTTTAAATGGGGAAGAATGGATAGATTGCTGTAAACCTGGATCTTAGTAAATTGATTGTAAAAGAAAAGTCATAGGGATTTCTTATTGGGAATGCCACCCTGGGTGACTATAGAAATGGTGCATAAACCACCACTGAAGGAGTCCACTGGCAAAGGGAGTGTGGTGGTGGGTAGAAAACACCAGTAGATACAAACAGAGGAAGCCAGCCTGAAAGAGAAGCACACCAGATGAGTCCATGTCAAGGGATGTTTAGGAAAGAAAACTGGGCTGTTCCTCAATCCTGGTGCTACCTTCACTCCAGGTTCAGCAAACTGGCTGCCTTAGGAGAGTCTTGGGAGAGGGGCCCAGTACAGCAGGCAGTTAGACTGCTGTGATAAAACTGCCCACCTGGCAACCACTGCACCATCTGGGGCCCATTTATCCTGCTTCCCTTCTCCCTGAGAGAGGGGCCAGCTAGAAGAAATAGTGCAGATCAGGGAAGTAGGCAAAGTGAAAGCTAGAGAATTATTTACAGGGTGGTCAATGAGTTAGAACCAGCGGGTTCTTGGGAAGGTAACAAACAAGGAACTGATCCTGTGGGATCTGGAACCAGAAATTGGCACCAGGCCAGTGGTTCAGGGAGGGAC